TATTATATTTGTAAATCACATTTAACTACCAATCCTAAAAAATATCAAGAATTAATAATAAATTATTACAAGAATGGGGTGGTATTAATGTTTCAAAAGATATAGTAACATGGAATCATTTAGGAGATGTTATTATTTATAACCAACCTATTGATTATGAAAAGAAAAATAAAAAAGCCTATGATTTTTTAACAAACAGAGGTGAAAATAAATACACCAATATCGATTTTCTTAAAGAAATCCAAAAATATTTTTCATATCTATTGGAAAACAAAATTAAAAATAAAAATAATGACGAGTATGAAATTCAGAATCCTATAACAAGATTAAATCAATTATTTTACCCATATCAAATTAATAGAATTTTACATAGTAAATATATTAATGATAGAAAGAAATTTCAATTAATGTGTATTGCATATTATTTTGGAAGTGAAGAAGTTCAGAGGGATGATGTGAAATAGAAACAAAATGGAGTAAAAGTATTGATAAAAAAAGATTACGATGAGGTGATGAAAGGTAAAGAAATAACTTTGGATATTGTTGAAAATGTAAACAAAGTTTCTTATTCAAAGTTAGATTATATAAATGAAATGCAAAATTATTATGAATACGTATTACGTGTTTATAAAGAAGGTTTAAAACATGATTCTATTGAAATTATTAAACAAGAATTAAAATTATTGAAAGAAGAGGTTAATTTAATTAAAAATTCATATGAAAAAGAGGTAAAACAAGAATTTGATTCGTTTAAAAAATTAATTGAAGAGCAAAAAAAAATCGATACTTTGGTAACAAAAATTTGTACGATGCTAAGCATAAATTCAGATAATAATTTATTAAAGATATACAATACTTTAGTATCAGATAGCAATACAAACGTAACAGACCAAAAGGAAATCATCAAATTGATATGTGATGTACTTGATATAAAATACCTAGAAAATAACGAGAATAAAAATCTTGTAAACATAAAAGAATCTATTAGAAAAAAAATATTTATAAACGAATAAATTAATAAATTATCATATTAGATAAATTTTATTTGAAATGAGTTATATTTTTAAAAATTTAGGTATTCGTATTACAGTACATGAACCACGTGATGTTAGTACTACTAAAAAAACTACTCAAGGAATCTGTAAAGATTATCCTTTTGGCAAAACAATTCGATTCTATGTATATGATGGGAAAGAAGCTGACTTTTCAATTACAGATTTTCCTATAGAATTAAGAAATCAACTTCAAATTACCGAAGATTATATAACCAATAAAATTAATGAATTGCAAGAAAAAATTGACAATTTAAATTTATTAAAACAAGAATTTGATTTGATCAAAGAACAAGAGAAAATTAATATTTTAGTAAGAGAAATATGCACGATGTTGAGTATAAATTTGGATGATGATTTGTTAAAGATACATCATGCTTTATTACCAAATAATAATATAGATAATGTTACAGATCAAAAAGAAATCATCAAATCAATATGTGACGTTCTTGACATAGAACACATACAAAATAACGATTATCAAAATCTTATAAACATAAAAAACTTTATTAAAAGAATATTTATAAATGAATAAAGAATATATACTTAATTATCTTACATATACTTAATTCTAATTATTTTATATCTTAAAAACTTTATTTATTTTATTATTTATTTTTTTAAATTCATATTTCATGAGCTGTTTTTAAATTTTTATATTCATTTTTTTAAAAGATCATTTAGATCAATTATTTCATAGTACCCAATACTTTTCCAAATATTCACAAAATTTTTGTCAGATGATATAAGTTGTGTAATTATCAGAAGTTGAGTATTATTTTCATACCCATCTTTGAATGAATAAATATTTTCTTTATAAGGTCTTGGAGGAAACGGAATGAATTTTTTATTTAAAATTAAATCTTTTAATTTATCTATATTTTTTTGAATCATATTTGGTTTATATAAAGAATAGAATAATTCCATATCATTTCCATACAAAGAAAGATCTTTAAATTCTTTTCTCGCAATATTTAATAAATACATATATATTTCAATATCCAAATCAATTCCAAAAGGTTTTGTAATGATGTTAAAACTCTTTTTAAAATTTTCATCATTAATATATTGTAATTTTAATTTTGATA